AGCCTAGCTCCGACTTTGTTTTGCCTACTCGGAGGTTCTGCTATTACGCGTCACTCGAGGACACCGTTCGCCCGTCACACCGCGTGTGGTGGACACTCTTGCCCTACAGGATAGGACACCGTGCTACGCCGCATCATGGTACGTCAGTATACCCACACGGGTGCATTAACCACCTCCGGGTGGTTATGAGCGTGAACTTCTATTCAGGAAATACATAAAAAGAGCACCATTATTGTTTGTCTCTAGCCGGATTGGACTTTCCACGGTTTGCACTTGTCTGGCAACAATAAGGAATACAAGCGAATGACAGCTGTCCATTCGCTTGATTTAAATATATACATATGCGTAGGGTAGGCTGAAGGTACTGTGCGACGTTCACGGCCAAGATCGACGTGTAAGAAGTTGTCGCCCCCGCCTTAGATGGGTTGCACCACCCGAAGTCCACTTTATCATCTGGACATAGCACACACGTCCTTCCATCCTGTTCTCTGAAGTGATCTTATACATGAAATGTATATTCCCTATTATTTCCTGAAAAACACCAATCGTAGCCAGTACCTTATGGCTGTTTTTTGCCTTGCACCATTCTTGAAGCTGACAGCAGTGATTCGTTGACTGGCGACTCATACCCATACCTTTCTTTTGAGTTAACCAGTTAAGCTATGGTTCTTGTCCATTTATAGGAAGCTTTGCACAACCACTTTTATTGCTTGCCTGCTGCCTTACATTAACCCTCTCTTTGCACAACGGAGACCTGACGCTTGGACCCTTTTGCTAAGCCGACGGCTGCCGGCTTGTAATCTCACCATGTAATCGTCAGTTCCAACTAGCACAACAGCTAGCCTCCTTGCTATCTGCTTCGGCGGCAAAGTTCTCACTTTCCCGAAAATTAGGCACCTACTCTGGTCTAGCTTGTACTTGGCTTCTAGGTAAGCCAACAGAATTCAACCTTATTTGGCCATGTTCAGGCCTGGACAACCTGGCATTATCTCATTCCTCACACTTGCTTCAGGTGGCGTGGCAGCCGGGCCCCAGAAGGGTGTTACCCTTTCTGCGTTCATTCACCTGGCCGTCATCCCATTTTGTTTTTTTCTATTGGATACTGATTTATCTGTTTCCTCCTGACACTCACTAGATGCTACTGCTCTCATCTTGCTTCTTCCTTATTCTCCCTCCCTCCCAGACTTTGAAGTTTGACTGTATTTGCCCAAACGCCCTGTACAACCGCGATTTAGCCAATCCGACTAGTCCCCAGTCTACACTCACATGGTCCTCCAAGTGAGTGGAACTAATCCTTGATTCTGTATTGGCTGGTTTCTATCTGTGTCACCGTCATCGTTCAACCAATATTCATCTGACACAGAAATGCGTACCCCCTTTCCGATTGCAGCTATCTTGGCGACCGTTTCGGAGCTGTCTAGTAACCGAATTATGCCAGTGAAATGGTGGCATGACAGTGCCATACCCAATATGACGTTAATCGCGCAAAAATTTTCTCCAGATTAAAGAAGATAACGGGAGTAAGACGCTTGTGACTGCTTGTTTCAAGGAGAGTTTTTTAAGGCAAGTTGCACCATTCGATGAGGGAACTACATCTGCAGAGAAAACTGATTTTTTGGCTATGCGTAGGCTTATGTAGTGAATCTGGTCAAAGTTGCAAACGTTGGTTCCTCTGCAGCGCTGTAGCGCCCCGTAAACTTGATCGCCTCGTTGTTGACTGCTGTTCAGCAACAATTCATGGGCCGTCGCACAGTTGGAGGTTACGCCACCGTTGTTCGGTAGATGCCTGGTACCCTCTGAAAAAATATGGGATCTCGCACTCCGTTCTGTTTGATTGATAATCAAAATTTCATGTCCTTGAAGCTCCAAAACTAAAATTATTGCTCCCCTTGCAGAGCTGTTGTGGGCAATGGCCTTCAGAGAAACAGGCGGACCTTTCGCTTCCCCGCAATATGCACCGGCACAGTTGATTAGTTGTGGCACTCTGGTATTGTTGGGTCACGGGAACACGATGACCGATCTCCTGGTCAACGATCCCTGGTAACTATCATGGAATGGCTGTGTGCGGATGCACAGATTATCAGCGTCTTGTAATGTTGTACGTGGAACTTTCCGAAGAGCTTGTTTAGCTGTGGGATATCTGATCGACTATTTTCTCTATGACAGATACGACTGTGAAAACGATTAGGCGATTGAACTACCTTGGTGGTTAAGAAGGGTGCCGAAGTATAGACCGGAGACTAAGTGGCAACAGTCGGGCCCAGCAGTTGTGTAACAAAGTTCTCGACCAATTAACTTGGGCACTCTAATCATAACCAAATATAACAACTGAACAAAGTGCATCCATCGAGTTATCCACGGTGTACTCCAAGTGCTTGCTGAAAAACTTAAAGTACGCCAAGCATGAAAATGCGTGTCTCAACGTCAATAATGTGCAAGTAGTAGCCAGACCGTCGTACGAACTTCACACAGAAAGCGTAAGTCAGAGGAGAAAAACAGGTTTTCGCTGGGTATACAAAATATGTGCACAGGTGCACTGCCGTTGAAAAATAAGAATTCAACGCGTAAAATAAGTCGTCCATGAGGATTTTCTGTCGATTTATTGTTCATCGAGTGATAGCCATAAAATCACTCATTGTCTACCCAAAAACTAATGTTGTGTTAGTAATAGTTACCATTTAGACATGAGTTTCTCGAGTATTTAATCGCTGTAGCATACTTTATTGTGTATCATTTGAATCTGGGTTGATATTTCCGAGGCTGTGTGAAACACGTGACCCTGGGTAAAGTGTTGTCGGACGATCTGCGTGCGTCACTGTCAGCGCAAATATTCGTGTCCCGTTGTACGCATTTAACACACGGGGAATTAAAAAGCAGTTTTCGGCATTGAAGGAAAACTGGTCCTGATAAAAGTATGGACATCGGCCAAAAGTTCCGCCCGAGTGGAAAAATTGAAAGACCTTGAAAACGAAAAAAGGAGGCCACCATGGAAACTCCCTGCTTCTCTTGCTTATTCTTGTATGACAGCCGGCGGTAATCACCAAACAGTGACAACTATTTCGAGACATCATCCCCATTGTGCGACACAGTGTCCACATTCCCAGGCCGACTTGGTATCTGGAGGAATGCTTCTCCTTTCCGAGCCCGGGTGAAAAACGTAAAACCGATGGGTTCATTGAAAGTGGGAAACAGTAAGGAGTACCGCTTTACTACGTGCTGTTTTCAATACCTTCAGTCCTGAGTATATTAGCTCCCGGCTTCTCACTGTTGACTGCGCAAACTGAATCCACGTGTGAATGCGGCTATCGCCAACCAGAGCAATTTCATTGATAAAGTTTCAATCAAGGCCGTACCGACACATATTGATCACTGTGTGTTGACGTTTGGACTTAATTGATACTGGGTCAAAAATCCTGAACCACAGACGGGAAATTCAGCGGTGCGTATCTCCCAGAAATTAGTGGCCTACTTGGGCCACTGAAACCAGGATAAGCTTCGGCGACAGAGTTGTACGAGGCCATCTTCCTAAAAAATCTATGACATGATGCTCATCATAACAAAAACAGAACACGGTCGGACGGATAAAGTAATACCTGAAAGGATTCGGCGTCCTTTATAAACTAAGCCATTACTATTTTCCCAAAAGCAGAAGACGGACGCGCACTTCGCAGAATGCGGAACCGCTGTAAATCAGAAACCCGCCAAGGGAACATACGAAAAATCACCACGGTGCTGTAACTTGCACCGGAAAAAATGCCATCTAAGTTCATGGGACACCGCCGAGGGATAAGCCAGCCGCTTTCTCCTTGAAAGACCGAGACGGATAATCAACAAATGATCCAATGGCGATATCTGAAGTCGACAGAGAAAATCATACTGGCCGGCATTCGGCCACAGCGACCACACCACATCCCAACAGACATAACTGCGCATGGCCAACAAACAACGTGATCTTCACTGAGAAGGTTGTTCGTAAACTCCTGCACAAGACAGAGGAGATTCATCCAAGTTTACTGAAGGAAAAATGGTCCACACTGGCAAAGCATTCCTACATGATGTTTTGTCAGCCACTGGGCGACAGCAACCTAGCCTCTGCTTGGGAAAACGCATCCATATAACATTTAAGGGAGACAGCGAACACCTTCATCGTGAATGCTAAGAATGGACTAGAAGATATTATGAGGATAGATATCTAAAATGATGTGGGTCCCGGGCTCCCTTCAATAAATATCTTTCTCATTGCATCATCAAGGCATTCATCAAAAGGCATTTGCCGCTCTACGGATGATTCAGCGAACCTTGCCCGTCATTACTCACTTGGACTTCCAGATACTCTATTAGGCTTACGTTAGGCCGCTTCTTGAATGCACCAACTGATATGCTCACTCAGGACGCAAGTAAGACTAGCCCTCGAGCGTATCCGACCAGCTGCTACGAAAATGTTGGCCGGTCTTAAATCCTTTGATAATGGAACACGTCTCGCAATACTTGGCCTATTTGCTCTGGAGGGTCGTCTTCTCCGAGGCGAACTAATACTTTCCAACGACGTGTTAGAAAAAGGTTTGGCCAACAGGTTTTTCATTGATGACCGAATTAACGCCGGGGACATGGTGAGATTTTCAGGCACAGGGCGCACAACTTTATTAGGCAACGGCTTTTCGGGTTTTGGAATGTTCACGCGTGGAACAACCCTCTTGGGAATGTTGTTAACGATGCATCTAGTAGCCTGTTCAAAGCATTTCTAGACGCCATTTTATTTGAGCACTCGCGCTGGCAAATTTACTGCCCCGCGCTGATAACTTTAGGAGCAACGCTTCACCCTTTATCCGCCTGTGCCTTTCGGGTGAACAGAAGCCGTTGAACGACAAGGACACACCAGTCTCCGGAAGTTTGGGCGAAAGCCTCTGTCCCATATATCAGTCAGTGAATCCATGAATCTCACCAACTGGCTGACCTTCATAAGCGTTTTGTTTCGATTGGCCGATTATTTTGGTTCGTGACTGGCACTCCCGGGCTGCGCCCTTCGGGTACCGTGTCATCGACATCGACCTATTTTGCCATGCACTTGCAAACCTCTTGATGATCCTCCGAACCTAATGCCAGATAACGAATGTGAGACTTTATTTCTGAATGCCAACGAGACAGCCTCTATCCGCCCTCTGCGCGTGATCACTCAGTACACTAACACCGATGTTAACACTATGCAATCTCCGGGCAGGCCTACCACACTTGGAGTTAGCGAGTTCAAGAGCTTGCGTACAATGGATTCGATTCCAGAGGATAGTAACGGTTCACAGTGGTCTGTTAAATCAGTCGACAATGTGGAGCTTGACAGATTGCTATGCCATCTGGGCAATAACTCGACACCAGTGACGCCCACGAGTTTCCTCAACCCTAGGAATATTACAGAAGACCAGGAACTATTCGCAGAGTGAGTCCCAGTTTTATTTCAGTAACACGGACACTGCTGATTATTGCTGAACTATTTACCTTTTTAATAATTCTAGTAGATCCAACTGTAGACTGCCTATTATGCTTTGTGGGCATCGTCAAACGGTCAGATAGGCACGTATAGGCACGAGTTCCGGATTGACAACCAAAAAATAATGATGGTATCCAATCGCTAGACTACATTTAATGACCGTTCTCACCACAAACCTCTCAGTTGCCATTGCCTTCCACCTGAAGGCTTTTCATACTACATAGCAGGGGAATCTAACGCGTGAAGGTTATTCCAGTCGGTTGTGCGTGTAAAAAAAGAATGCTCTGGCGATGTCTACAGTTTTCATTGCTGGTTACAATTCGAACAATTGTACGGATCTCTAAAACATAAAAAGTCTTTCAACCATATGGTGCCAGCCAACGAAGCAGCGTCAAGCCCATCTTGCATCGATGATGAGAATTGATCGTAGTGTGCCTCTCCTGAAGTACATGTCTGCTTTTCTGTCACCAACATGTCCGTAGCTGTTTTTTATTGCCCTTTTTACTTGGCCTTTAAAAATCTATTGGACCCGTAGTTCAGATAAATTTATCAGAACCGACTCCAACGCTTGTCTACTGACCCTATGTCGGGCGTGAACGCCCACGAACAAGGTAGTTGGAACTACCACCTGCGGTACAAGCCGGTTAAACAAGCATCAGATCTCTGGTGGGACCGCGACTTTTCTGGAAACCCAATAGAGGCTTCCCCTCGGTTGCAGACGCAACGTGTCATCCGACGCCAGGTGACAGTGAATGTCGGTGGAGACCAGACTATTCAATGGATCCAGAGGGTTCGAAAATTGGGAGAAGCGGAAGGTGCTGAAAGCGTCCTCGTTGGCCCATCAGTGGAACCATCAAAGACCACTGTGACTGACATTCAGGAAGGAATATTTTGACCTTTGAACGGATTCGCCCGAATAACTCACTAAATTTCCCATCTGGAGTGTTGGCCTTTGACAGAAATATGGATTGCACCTATGGAACTCTTTTCAGCTTCAGAACTACCCGCGTTTACATGCTTACCCAACAGTCACGCTGCTGGTCCCAACGACCATCCGCGTGCACTGTTCGGGATGAATTTCTCAGTCAGTTTGTTTATCTGGGAAGAGGAAACCTTCCCGGAAGCCAGGGATGGCTCAGCTGTTAGAGCGTGCATTTACTAGTGGGAAGGCCTGTGGTTCGAACCCGACCCCCACATCTGGACTTCCCTCATGCAGGCGTGGGTAACCTGGCATTATCCCAACACTCGTGCTTTCTTCGGGTTTCATGGCAGTTAGGCAACGAAAGGGTGCTACAGCTGAACGATCTTTTTTAACTAGGATAAGTTGACTCTAGTACTCATCTTCGAAAAAGGTTTCTTGCAGTGAATTTAGTGACCACAGAGGTACCAATCTGACTCACCATGATGTGGCTGATTCTTCGCTAAACTTTAACCCAATAGCATCAAACAGGGTTTCAACCAGACAGATTGTATCGGCCACATCTTAACGCTCCACCAGGTGTCAGAGTGGCGCCGTATCTGCAAACCACATACAACCCTTGTTTTCCCAACTTCCGGGATACTTTTGCTTCTCCAGACCACTCGCGCTTGCCTAACAATGGGTGCTACGGAGTTTCCAAAATATAGTCCGACTCTACTATTCACAACTTTCGGGTTCATCAGTGTGTTTGGAGAACTCTTTGAAAGCTTCCTTACGATAATGGCTACCAGGATATCTACCCTCCATTTTTCAACTTCCGCGCTGGTGTACTAATGAGGCGAACGCTGATGGGTTTTAAAACCTCCAGTGCTGAATCAGTTGCAGGTGAGTGTTGCCGATCAGGAGTGTGCAGACGATATCATCTAACTATTTTGGGACAAACACAACGTATAAGCAATCACAAATGAGCTGGCTGCCATCTGGCACAAGGCCTGTACTTACAAGATGCAAATCCATCCTTCAGGATGTGCAGCCTGAAAATGCCTCTTAGGGTTCTCAGAGAAGCATTGAGAGCTGTGAGGAGTTCTGAATCCATCGTTACTGTATTTGCTGCATTGAAGCTCTGTACGGTGAAGTGCCACATATCTCGAAGGCTCGAATTGTGTTTGCCAAGTCGTCTCACTCGTGACGCTCTCAAAGGTGGCTTGTTCCAGATTACAGTACGGGCAATGTATAGTTGATAGGCTTGACCCCAAAGAGTGATTGACCTGAGCTATGGTCGGGCTTTCGGCCACTGGTATCTTGGTAGCATCGCTGTGTTGATGAATTCACAACGACTTAATTAGCAGACGGATGCTTGGTTGCGTAGGTGATACATCATCGCGAAAGGCATCCAGCACCGTCAAATGTGTGACCCATCTGCCATGTGTTACACGTGCCGAGTAATCGTTTATCCAGACAAGTGTTGGTTTGTATACTTCTCTCAGGATGACGGGGAGCTTGAGGTGCATAACCTGTGTCTCAACAGGGGGTGTGAAGGAGATTACAAGGAGTTAGGGTGTTATTGTTGCCGTCCAACTTCGACGGCGGAGTTCTCACTGAATCATGTGTGGTTGGGTAAAGGTTTTGCAAGAAATCAAGTCCGCCCGGTATCAGTGATGTTCCTGCTGCAATTCATATCCAGCTTGTTTGATGTGACGTTTGAATTTCAAGGTCAATAAAGAAAGAAAGAAAGTGTTCAGCTGTAGCACCCTTCCGATGCCTAGCTGCTATGCCACCCGAAGGAAGCACGAGGGTTGGGATACTGCCAGGTTGCCCAAGCCTAGACAGGGGAAGTCGAGAGGCGGAGGTCGGATTCGAACCATGGAACTTCCGGTCAGTAAATTCGCGCTCTAACCACTTGGGCCATCTCGCCCCCCAATTTGAAGGTCAACACCAGATCCAGTTCACCTCCGTAGTTTTTCTCAGGTTAAGGCTTCGAAAGCAATTATGTAAGCCTGGCTGTGAAGTGGCACTGGTACTGTGGTCTATGAGGATGATCACAGTGATGTATCGCGTGCTACTTTACGAAACCCATGCACCGTTAAATCGCCAAAATACCCATTAAATGCAACACATGGAAGGACGTGTAGCGTATGCACCTACGTGATCGACCGGTCCGTCAACCTTTCACAGTACTTCTCCCACACTAAATTCCACATACTCACGCGCTGACTGAGTTGGAAAGATCGGTAGGTATGTAGTCAATCATCTTATCGGAATGGCCGTGCTCGCAGTAATGATATTGCCGGTAAGTTAAGGAAGGTCGACAGATTACAGCCGGTACGAGTCACGCAGCCCACTGATTAATCATAACGATAGCCAATGTGGTGTGGATCATATGCAAATTCGAATGTAGGTCCGGAGATCAATGAGCCTATAAAAATGTAGCTGTCGCAATCAGAGTCCACTGAATAACCACAGGGATTGAGACTTCCGCGTGAAAAGTCATAGCCAAGGCTGATAAGCATGTAGCTGAGGATTCTTACTGCGCCCAAATATCGGTGATCTCTCGGGTGTCTGCGTTGTCCAAGTTTGACCGTTCCAACGAATGAACACATCATTACTTGTGGGTATTGTTCATTCAGGAGACATAATAAAACCAGTGAGAATTTAAATGTACGTATCAGATGTATGCATCCAGTATGGGGAATGCTTTTATCAATCGGTTTGTTATTCCTATAAGGAAGCAGATTTTCCCACTAGGATATTCACTCACGATCATTCCAGGTCCACTTATTATAAATTTTAGCTTGGTTAGAGCGTGCTTGAGAAGTTACGCCAACTGAACCTTACAATCTTTGACTGTAGTGTTGAAGCTCCAGACTCCGCTTAGGTCAACGTTAATTGTTTAGTGATCCAGCAAGACTAGCATCCTGGCCTGTCTTTTTTGTAATACCGTGTGAACATAACTAAGACGTTTAGAATGTGTCCGAGGACTAGTTAGAAGAGAGTTTGAGTTATCGAGAGTAAACGTTTTACTTGTCCAAGAACAAGCGTGGATGAGCTTTAATGTATGTATGCAGTTTCACTACGAGTATATAGGGTAGTCATAATAATGACTAATGACAAATCATGACATTCACCCCCGCGTTGTTTGAATAGCCACACCTGTACTGAAGTAGATAGTGGGGGACATAGTGAGTCAGGCTTTCCTTTACGTCAAAATGTAAGGACGAATGCGTCGCTGTCGTTTGTAGAATTTCAAGATAACTCGGTTAGTCTTCGGAGGACGGTGCCGAAGAGGGTTCAGGTACTTGAGAACTATCGGGATGATGTCCGGTGGTTTCGGTCGTATCTGGGTGTTCGGTGTCCCTGTTGGATACAGATATGTTGAGAACGCCGACAGTTGCATCCTGAGCCGCTGGGGCTAGACGGCGAAAGGATACGGTTTTATCTTTTCCGTCTCGATGTGTGTGTGCGGTGTGTGCATAGTGTAGGTTACAGTTAAGAGGTCGACTTCTACATTAGGTGGTACTTGGATAACCTATCACTTCGTTGTAGCAGCGGCACATATACCGCTAATCAACGATAGCAGTTTTTCTTCACATAAGAGGAGCTCCGACCTTTGGACAGATTGCGCCTTCTAAATATTCTTGGCCAGAGGTGTGGTGCCCCGTATTTCCATACCTAGGGTCGGGTTAGGGTACATAACGAACAGGTAGTAAGCTTCCTCATAACTAGTGGAAATCGTAAGGGTTGTTTTCTCCCTTTTTTAATCAACCTTGTCATTAAGGTCATCATGAACTACACGCTTTGGGTGTTGAGACCACGTCTTGAGAGAGAATAGCGGATTTGGGTTGGTTTGGTGATTGTTCTTTCACGTAAAATATTAAAAAGAATTTCTGATGTACCTCATTTCAATGTGCGTTTTGCGCCCTCAAAGTGCGAGGTTTTACTTCAGGATTTCTCATCCTTTTTTGCTTTCCTGAGACTTCAGAAGCAATATCTTGAGTTTGTTGTTGTTTCATCTATCGTTGTAGCTGCATAA